CTGACATCAGCAATGATATCCCTCTTCTGAATCTGGCTTGAACTTCTGGCAGTTCCCTGTTAACATACTGCTGCAGCCTCTTTTGAATAATCTTCAGCAAAATTTTACTTGCGTGTGATATTAATGATGTTCAATAATTTCCGCATTCAGTTGGATCACCTTTCTTCGGAATAGGCATAAATATGGATCTCTTCTAGTTGGTTGAAAAGGTTCCAGCACTGCGTCTGTTTGTTGAAACATCTCAATTGGTATTTCATCAATTCCTGGAGCCTTGTTTTTTGCTGATGCCTTCAGTGCAGCTTGAACTTCTTCCTTGAGCACCACCGATTCCTGATCATATGCTACCTCCTGAAATGGCTGGACGTCAACCAATTCTTTTTGGTATAGTGACACTGTGTATTCCTTCCATCTTCTTTAGGTGCTTCCTGCGTCATTTCATCATTTTCCCATAGAATCCTTCAATATTGCAACTTGAGGCTTGATTTATTTTTTTCTTCAGTTCTTTCAGCTTGAGAAATGTTGAGTGTGTTCTTTCCTTTTTGTTTTCTATCTCCAGGTCTTTGCACATGTCATCATAATACTTTACTTTGTCTTCTGGAGCCACCCTTTGAAATCTTCTGTTCAGCTCTTTTACTGCATCATTTTTTCCTTTTGCTTTTGCTACTCGATGTTCAAGAGTAAGTTTCAGAGTCTCTTCTGACACCCATTTTGGTCTTTTTTTTCTTTCCTGTCTTTTTAATGACCTCTTGCTTTCTTCATGTATGATATCCTTGATGTCATTCCAGAACTCGTCTGGTCTTCGGTCATTAATGTTTAGCATGTCAAATCTATTCTTGAGAGAATCTCCAAATTAAGGTGGGATATACTCAAGGATGTACTTTGGCTCTCAAGGACTTGTTCTAATTTTCTTCAGTTTCAACTTGAACTTGCACATGAGCAACTGATGGTCTGTTCCACAGTCGGCACCTGGCCTTGTTCTGATGATAGTGAGCTTTTCCACGGTCTCTTTCCACAGTTGTAGGTGATTTGATTTCTGTGTATTCCATTTGGCAAGGTCCACATGTATAGTTGCCACTTATGTTGTTGAAAAAAGGTATTTGCAATGAAGAAGTCATTGGTCCTGCAAAATTCTATCACGCTATCTCTGGCATCGTTTCCATCACCAAGGCCGTATTTTCCAACTGCTGATCCCTCTTTTTTGTTTCCAACTTTCGCGTTCCAATCACCAGTAATTATCAATGCATTTTGATTGCACGTTCAATCAATTTCAGACTGCAAAAGTTGCTAAAAATCTTCAGTTTCTTTATCTTTGGCCTTAGTGGTTGGTGCATAAATTTTAATAATATTCATATTAACTTGTTTTCCATGTAGGTGTATGGATATTATCCTATCACTGACAGCTCTGTACCTCAGGATAGATCTTGTAATGTTCTTTTTGACGATGAATGCAACGCTATTCCTCTTCAAGATGTCATTCCCAGCATAGGAGATCATATGATTGTCCGATTCAAAATGGCCAATACTAGTCCATTTCAGCTCACTAATGCCTAGGATATAGATGTCTATGTGTTCCACTTCATTTTCAACAATTTCCAATTTTCCTAGATTCATATTTCATACATTCCAAGTTCAGATTATTAATGGATGTTTGCAGCTATTTTTTCTCACTTTGAGTCGTGCCACAACAGCAAATGAAAGTCCCGAAATCTTGACTCCATCCAGGTCATTACAGTTGACTCTACTTTGAGGAGGTAGCTCTTCTCCAGTCATATTTTGAGTGCCTTCCAACCTGAGGGGCACATCTTTCAGAACTGTATCAGACAACGTTCCCCTGCTATTCATAAGGTTTTCACTGGCTAATTCTTTTCAGAAGTAAACTGCTAGGTCCTTCTTCCTAGTCTGTCTTAAGTCTTGAAGCTCAGATGAAACCTAAGCTATAATACAAGTTACCTGCTTTCCAAGTACAATGGTAGGAGAGGCACAATGTAGACATTTCCATTACAAATGGGAGAAATTGGAGGGAAAGAAGGGCTAACAATCACCAAGCAAGTAAAAAACACCAAAAAACAATTTACATTATCTCTCAAGTCTTGAAAATAATCCTCGGTTCTCTGAGACCATCTATGCAGTAGCCCTGCCCTCCAGACTCTGCGTGTTGGCCATGCTCTCTGGATTCTGGGTGGAGGTCCCTCAGCTTTGGACTTCAGCTCCACCTTCCAAATTTTGTGTTTGTTATCTAGTGCTGCTATAATAGAAATACCACAAGTGGATGGCTGTAACAAACAGAAGTTTATTCTCTCACAGTTTAGGAGGCTAGAAGTCCAAATTCAGAGTGCCAGCGCAAGGGGTAGGCTTTTTCTCTCTGTCAGCTCTGGGGGAAGGTTCTTGTCTCCTTTCAACATCTGTGGGCCCAGCGTTCCTTGGACATTTCTCTATGTCTTGGTATCAATCTTCCCCTAGGTTTAGGAGGTTCTTAGTTCAGGTTCTCCGGGTCCAAAGGATGTGCTTCGCTCTCAGCTCCTCTTTCTTGGTGGTACTGAGGTCCCCCTCCACACCCAGGCTTGATGCACTCTCCTTTTATCTGTTGTAAGATAAAAGGTTATGCAGGCCACACCCCAGGGACTAGCTTTAAATCACATCAGGGCTGTGACCTGAGTAAAGGTGTTATATCCCACCCTAATCCTTTTTAACATAACCTAATCTTGCCTTATTACCCTCAGGCAGAGATTAGGAATTACAACACACAGGACAATTACATCTCATCACAGAATGAAGGACAACCATACAATACTGGGAATCACGGCCTAGACAAGTTGACACACATTTTGGGGGGACATAATTCACTCTATGACATTCCACCCTTTGGCCCCTGAAAATTCATGTCTTTGCCACATGTAAAACACTTTTACCCTATTGTATCATCCCAAAAGTCTTAAATTAATTCCAAGTCCAAATTACATCCTGGGGCAAAATTCCTTTTTCTCTGTGAACCTGTGAAATCTAGAATACAAGTTATCTGCTTTCAAAGTACAATGGTGAAACAGGCACAAGATACATTTCTATTACAGGTGGGAGAAATTGGGAGGGAAAGAAGGAATAATGAGCACCAAGTATCATGGCCCAGCCAAGCTGACACCCAACTTTAACCATCGCAGTGGCCATTGAGGCCCTAGAAGAAAGCTTGTTCTGGCACTGCTGGTGTGTCCCTCCCACATTATAACATAGAATATTAAGATAGCAAAGGTCTCAGCAAGCACTGACCTTTATTGTAGTAGGCTGGTTCTTCACTGAAGTTGACTTAAGAAATAAAAAATTGACATCCTCTGCCTATGCATATAAGGAATGTGACTCAGCTGGAGCAACAAGGACACGTTAACTGGACCCTGAGCTATAAAAACAACCCTGGAAACCCTGGTGGTGTAGCGGTTAAGAGCTACAGCTGCTAACCAAAAGGTTGGCAGTTTGAATCCATCAAACTCTATGGGGCAGTTCTACTCTGTCCAAAAGGGTCACTATGAGTTGGAATCGACTTGACGGCAGTGGGTTTAAGGCAATCCTGGAAAACATCTTTTAGGAAATCTTTCACACAAATAAGATACTTAAAGCATGTAAGACCCACCTATTTTCCACTCTTATCTTTTTCCCTTAGCATTTAGTAAATAGTAAGATTTGTTAGACCAGTGAAGACCCTCCTGTTGTTACTGAAACTTGTACCAAAGATTATTAAGAAAAACAACTTAAAATGTAGAATCATGGTGATTTAGCAGTTTTTAGTCAATCTGTGAAAAGGTGAAGCTTTTAATGATTTTTACCCATTTGTAATGTCTATATATACTAATTGGCGCCCTAGTGGCACAATGGTTAAGAGGTATGGCTGCTGTCATGGACTGAATCGTGTCCCCCCAAAAAATGTGTGTAGCAACTTGGCTAGGTCATGATTCCTAGTATTGTATGATTGTGTCATCTGACGTGATTTCCTTATGTGTTGTAAACTCTACCACTATGATGAGATTATATGGGATCTCCTCATGTGTTGTAAATTCTATCACTGTGATGAGGTTACTGATGAGGTTGACAGATTAGTGTCTTAATGCAATCTCTTTTGAGATATAAAAGAGAGAAGCGAGCAGAGACACATGGGAACCTCACACCACCAAGAAAGCAGTGCTGGGAGCAGAGCGCATCCTTTGGACCTGAGGTTCCTGCGCTGAGATGCTCCCAGACCAAGGAAAGACTGAGGCATCACAAGGACCTTTCTCCAGAGCCGACAGAGAGAGCCTTATCCTGGAGCTGATGCCCTGAATTTGGACTTGTAGCCTACTGGACTGTGAAGACAATAAATTTCTCTCTGTTAAAACCACCCACTTGTGGTACTTCTGAGACAGCTGCTAACCAAAAAGTTGGCAGTTTGAACCCACCAGTTGCTCCTTGGAAACCCGAAGAGACAGTTCTATTCTGTCCTACAGGATCACCACGAGTTGGAAGTGACTCAACCACAACAGGTTTGGGGGTTTTGTTTTGTATGGTATATATACTGAAGAGTCTGTAACATTCCTCAGACTCAGGACAAACATAGCTGTGGTAGCATGCTTGTCCGTTTCCCACTTTTGTCCTTTGGAACACATACCAAACAAAAATCTTTCTTCTTGCTTTACTGTAACTTTGTGGTGATTTTAACCTAGGACAAAGTAAATATCAGACCTGTGGTGGCAGCTCTCACACTATAATCTGCATGATTTCCAGCCTTTTCTGGGTGGGGACAAGCAGTAGTAGAGAATTTTCCTGAACACATCAACTTGCCTTGGAAGCCAGCTCCAGGCCCTCAAACCAAGGGGAAGCCGACTTCTCCACAGCCCCCAGGATCGCTTTTCGTCCTCGTCTTCCGGGCGGACAGACCTCTCAGCACCAGTCGCCTCTTCTCTGCCACCTGCAGGTCGGCTTGAGGGACTGCTCAAGACACGGGCCGGGGCTTGGAGAGTGGAGCCGAGAGAGCACTTGCTCAGGTTCAGCGGCGTTTCCTGACTCCAGGCCCTCCCGCCGGTCCGCCAAGACCCGGGCCATGGCGCGGGTGCTGATTGTTGGCACCGGGTTAACAGGAAGCTTGTGCGCCGCACTCCTGAGGAGGGAGGTGTCCTGTCCTTTGCAACTCTCTGTGTGGGACAAGGCTGCGGATTCAGGTGAGTTGTCTGTTGGCCAACACGCGGGGGGGTAATGAGGCCGATGCGTCCCCCAGACTCGGAAGTGGAGCGGCGGAGCAATGGAATAAGTGTCTAAAAAGGAAAGCCAGTCTTTACTACCCGCACTACCGGGCAGCTGCACATGCGCAGTGCTCGCATCGTCATGTGACCGGAGATTTCGCCGCTGGGAAAAGCCTAAAAAGCAGGGAAGGCGGGTGGGGGTTGTCGGCAAACCTTCCTGTGCTGGGGCAGGGCAGGGCTTACAACGAGCACTTTGGAGGGAGGCCTGAGCGGCTCCAGAGGGAAACTGGTCTGAGTTTGCAAAGCTTGGGCCTACCACGAAAAAAAAGGGGTTTTACCTTGGTTCTGTCCGTGCTTTTGCAGCTGACTCGACAGCAGTGTTTTTTTTTTTTTTTTTGGGGGGGGGGGCGCTGGGGTTTCCAGATTAAAAGGA